TCATTTTCGTCATTATTTATCTTTTATACTTCTTCATATTCACTTGGTTTGTGTGGAACCCTTGAGCCGGGGTCCGCATAAACTTCTCCCCATATTGTAAATATTTATTGTTAGGGTTTCTAATTTAGTCCTTAGTGATATTCTTTGTCCTGCATTATTTGATTGGGCTTAACAAGTGTTTGTTATTTTCAGTTTACCTGTAGTTCTACTTACGAGTTAATTGATAATTAGGTTAAATATCTTAAATAACACATCCAATACATATGTTTATTTCACTACACAATTTCTTAACATTTGTAGTTTATATTTATTACCATTAATTTTGTTTGTGAGGGCATCTGGTGGCTGGGATCCACCCTACCTGCTCCCAATATTGCTCACCTTCCTCCTACAACAGTTGAACCCATCTCAAACAACCTATATTTTGTCAGTTTTCCTCCACCTGATCATGGATTGCTTTCCCAGGCATCTATTGCAGAATCAGCTAGGACTATCTGTTTTTGTTTTTTTTTAAACACATTTCACAGTATATTCCCTTTCTTCTCCTCACATTGTTTCATAATGATGATCATTTTTGGCTCTCTTTTGAGGGTGGGTACTTGCAAGCCTCGCCATACACAGGCTTTGATTCTTTTTGCTCTAGCTTACCATCAGGCATATTTTTTTCTTGGTTATGTGTTATTCGGATCTCTGTTAATCCTATCCATTTTATCCACTATCCAGTTTTTCCACCTCGTATTACCCTATCGACTCTCCTACAAGTAATGTTTACCTTACACCTCCTTTCTTATATTTAGGGATTTTCTTGGGACACCTTCTTCCCTCCTTGTTCGGGCATTTGCCATCTTCAGTTTTTTCCTACACACATGGATTCTTTGCTTTTGGGATATTCTAGGGTGGGACACTACCATTTGTTTACCATCGACTGCTAATAGGTACTTATGGTCAGCTCTTTTTCTCCACCGGTCCATTTTTTGGGGCTACTCCTGTACATTTAGCATCACGTGGGATATCTGTGATGCTATATTCAAATTTTTTTTGGTTTCTCTTTTGTTTCATTCTGAGATATTATCATCTTTATTCATTTTACATGTCCAGCACCTTTTCATCCTACCTATGGGTTTCTCCATTCATCATGTATGCTTGATGCTGATTGGAGTTCTTGATCAATTGATCCTGCCTCAATCACTTCCTTGTTTTATTATGTAGTCCTTGATCACATTTCTTGGGATGCTATCATAGGTTTTTTTCACCACATGATTCAGTACTTGTTTCATGCCTTGCCCTTTGGACTTGTTTTGATTCTGTATATCTTTTGTTGGGTGGTCTGTGTTTTACCCAACTTCGATGTTTTGAGGGATTTTACCAACACCATTAATTGGATGTCTAGCTTCGGTTAGCTCTTTCCAAATGGGGATAGTCTTAACATACTCGTCTACTCCTTCCACAGTCAACTTGAACAGTTGGATTTCCCTGTTACATACCTCACATTCTAGTCTCTTTGGGAAGTGTACTTTTAAACACCTCCTTCCATCAGGACCATCTATTCTCCTTCTCAAATGCATTATGGAGTTTTCTATTATTCAGGTCATCACAGTTCACTATCTTACTGCTAATGAGGTTCTAATGCATTGGGGGATTTGGTTTGTATAGGAGCACTTCTCCTTTTGAGTCTAGCACATTTGCAATCTTTTCAGGAGATGCAGCATGACCCATGGTCTGTTGTTAGGATTCCGTTGGATTTTCCTCTTAACGTTCATCCTTTCCTCTCCGACTATATACATTGGTGGTTGAACATTTCCCCCAAAACATCAGGTTTACTGCTTTCTCCCCCTCTTTTGGATCATTTCTCTTCCATTATGCTCATCTCCAAAGGTGGGGAGCTCGGTTTGATAAGTAGGAGGCTTCAGGACAATGGTCTACAGATGAAAAGTCTTATCACGTTAACACCCTGGTACTTCCGCTAGACCAATGTGTTTTAGTTGACTCTCTTCCTCTTGTCCAGAGTTGACTAATTGTTTCATTCCGACTGTTTGACTGGTGGCTTATATCACTTACCAATGAGACACTCAATCATGTTCCCTTTCTGGTAGACAGTGGATTTCTTATTTTGAACCCACAAACTTGACATACGTGATCTGGAGTGTCATGTTCCCGGTGCTTTTGTCCTTGTTGCAGCCCTAGCAAACTTTCTCCCAAGGAGTGACCTTTCGATCCTCAAATTTTTGGTGGCTCTTCCTCATGTGAGGTACTCCTCCAAGTGAAGTTTTTGAATCTTTTATTGATTCCAAGTTACCTCTTTTGTTTTTGGTCTCTGGTTTATCATCCACTTGTCCTGGCTGTCAATAAGTTCAGACAGGATTAGATCCAATTTATAACTTTAGTTTTTTTTCTCATTCCTTCAGTCTTCTTCCCAAAATGTTTGTTTCTCCATGTCACTTGAGTCAGGTCTTTCTGATTGATCCTTCTTTGCCAGCACAGGTCTGGATTTCTTGGCTGTTTTGGCTATATATGTTCTTTTTGTTCTGGATTGATTTTATTAATCTACATTTTGGGGGCTCATATAGTATATTCTTTTCCACTTTTTTATTTCTTTTCATCTTCCACCTTTATTCTCGGTCGGATCCAGATTACCTTCTCTGTTCAGTACATGCTGTGGGTTGCTTCATTGCTTTCAATGCTTCTTTTCATTAAATTCATTTACCACAGTTTCATTCTCTTACACCACTCCTTTGTCTGTGTTTTTTTTTTCCTTCCTCCCTTACCCATTAGGTTCAGATTGTGATTTGATTGGTTGTTTATTCCTTGTCTCCTTCTCTTCGTCAATTCCTGATGTCTTCACTCCAATCATGCACTTTCTTTTTCTCTGCATATCAACCCTGTCATCTGTTGGAGGTACTTTGACTATTGAACACTAGGACTACATCTCATACATTCATCTCCAACTCTCTGCTTTGGGTAGCTGTTTCTTCCTTATCGGGGTACCATCATTCACTCGTTGGTGAGACTGTGACTGGGTAAAATATCTTTTTTGTGTATATATATATATATATATATATATATATATATATACTTCTTATTTAGTACGGTACGTACCTTTACCTTTTTACTTTTTACTTTTAGTTGTTTGTTCTTCGTTGTTTGTTGGTTAGGTCG